AGATAGATAGATAGATAGATAGATAGATAGATAGATAGATAGATAGAAGCAGCTAGGTGGTAGAGTGAGGGACTTGGAGTTAAGAAGACCTGAGTACAAATCCTGCCTCAGATACTTATTAGCTGTGTGATTCTGGGCAAGTCACTTAACCTCTCTGGGTTTCAGTTTCCTCACTTGTAAAGTGGGGATGATAATAATATCACCTACTTCATAGCATTGTGAGGATCAAATGAGTTAGTATACATAAAGAGTTTTGCAAACCTTAAAGTCCTATGTAAATGCTAATTATTATTATTATTATGGAAAGAGAGAGAGAGAATAAGAAGAGAGATGGGTGGGTAGATGGATGGCTATAGATATGGGTGTAAATGTAGGGGTATGTATATGTGGGGGAGAGAGAGAGAGAGAGAGAGAAAGAGAAAGAGAACAGAGATACTGGCAGGTAGAACAGTATATAATAAAGTCCAGAAATGAGATCAGATTGACGAAGAACATTCAGGCAACTTCCTGGAACTTTCAATGATTCCACCTTCCTCCTTGCTGTTCAAAACTCTCTTTTAAATCTACATTCTCCTAGTGAGACTGGATGGCTCATAACTAACAGTGACACCATGCAACGCAAAAGTTCACTTATAATGGGGGTACAGAGCAGCATTTGTGTTTGCTCTTTTGGTTTTTATTCTGTGTGTGTGTGCGTGTGTGTGCGTGCGTGCGTGCGCGCCCATCTGCATGTTTTCTCCCAAAAGATAAGTTCCTTAAAGCAGAGAGTCCTAGAAAGGGAATTTAACACTTGAGAAATATGACTTCCAAACAGTAATCTTCTTTATCCTTCAAATTTCTGCACCCAAGACAGAAGCCATCTTCCGTTGTACACCGCAGTCTCAGAGGAATCAAAATTGCTGCTGTCCCAAGGACACTGGATAGCTATACTGTGAATGTCAGCATGCTACAGCATATTACCAACAGTAACGTAGGCACAGTAAATAAGCATAAAATACATCATCAGAGATATGCAGGATCAGAAAAGGAAACGTCAGTCATGTAGTGAGATAGAGAGACAACAGTTTGGCTGCCTGAGTACTACAAGTATCCTTGGATATTAAAAGAAACCAAGGGAGGCCTCTAGCATATTGGATAGATTCTCATAGAGAATGGAGGGCTTAGCAGAAAACATGGATAAAAATTGCCCATGATGGGAAAACTAGACAGGGTTGTAATATGCAATGGAGGACATACCCCACCTCCACTGAGGTCCCAGAGCCCCGATGAAGCATTGACGGAAATGAATGTTTCTCAGCTCACTTTATGCAAGTAGGCTTGGGGGGCAAATTGAAGTAGAGATGTATAAAGGGCCCGAGGCCACTGGAGTAGAATTAGGAAGAGAAAAAAAGTAGCAGCCAGGACTTGGGAAGACAAATCCCATCTTGCTCACTGCTTTGCAGGAGACTTAACTTGAGGAAAGGGAAAAGGATCTAACTTACCTGGTTTCTGGGCTGAGCTGGGGCTGGAAACCATGACAGCCTGGACTCTGGCTACTTTCCAGTCCTGGCTGGTGCCACATGTCTCATGAGACTTCCCAGGGGGTTGCCTAGGACCACTGACCAAATGAGCTAGAAGGGGGCTTGACATCTGGGACCCCTCTTCCCTCGTTCCACAGGGTACATTGTCCAAGCCTTTGTCCTCTTTCTCTTCTAGGTCCAAAAGGCTGGCATGTCCTGGACCTTCAAATGTGCTCAAGCTGTCCTCCTTGGACTCCATGGCTGGACACTTGTAGCCTTCCTCAGGAAGTCCAAAGTCACCAGAGTGAGATCTTCCTTCACTAGGCCTGGTCCCTGAGGGCTGAGGCTGAAACAGCTGAGTGCCCAACATAGTATGTTCTCTTTTTACAACTCTGGGAAAACTGGTTTGGGATTCTTCGCCTGAGGGAGTATCCTCTCTGGGTCCTTGGGCAGCCTATCTTTGTCCCTAGGAGGGGGACCCAGTCTCAGGCCTGGGCAGTATCTAATCACAACCTCTAAGACAGATAAGAAGTCACTTCACTTCCCTGGAGGGTACTCCCTGCACTGCGGACTCCTCCGAGTTAGAGGTGAACGCCGGCAGGGGCAGGGCCAGAGATAGGGTTTGGATTACTCAAAAGGAGGCTATTCTGGCCCTCCTTTCCTGCTGATGTCTCACGTCTTGGAGTACTGGCTTCAAAATGAATTCACTTGTACTGGAAAAAAAAAAAAGGAAAAAATGTCAGGTATTAGCAAAGGATAAAGATTCTTACAGCTGGAAGGGACCTTAATACAATCCCATCATTTTATAGATGGGAAAACTGAGACTTAGGGAAGGAAAACTTGACCAAGTTCATGTAAAGTCCTTGTTCTAATTAGTGGCAGGACCAGGAGTAGAAGTCAGGTTTCCTAACTCCCACTCCAAGTCTGCTGAACTAGGCCCAGATTCTTTCAAAGGGTCGGCCTGTAAACCAAGAGATCTTAGTCTTTTTTGTGTCTTCGATGCCTTTGGCAGTCTGGTGATGCTTCTCTCAGAATAATGTTTTTAAATAATGGAAGTAAATGCTACACTGTTTCCCATCAAATTTCACAGATCCCACAAAAATCTAACCACGGACCCTCTTAGTAGTCTGTGGACTCCAGGTTAAGAACATCTGCTCCACAGCATCTCTTTCTTCCACTCTCTCTCCATTCACATAGCTATCACATAGGTTCAAGGCCTTATCACACTTCCCTTGGGATATTATACTAGCTACCTAACTGGTGTCCCTTTTTCCTCTTTCTCAGCTCTCCAAGTCATCTTCCACTTAGCTACCAAAATAATCTTCTCGAAGGATAGGTTTTTTGAGGCAGAATTATTAGCATGTGTTTGGCTCCACCAGGTTTGAAACAAAGGGTACTGGTATCCAGATGTGGATAGTTCTGTTCCAACAGAAGCCACTTAGATCAGAGATCAAGGCCAATAAAGTATGAATTGGTCAGCATGGGCCCTCTAGGTACCAGCCATCAAAGGGCAAGAAGTTAAGAAGTGAATGATAGGAGAAATTAATGGGGAAAAGATTGAAATGACTAAAGCTCTTAAGAGGAAGAAACTCCATTAAAGACTTTGAGCTAAAGCACAGGTTTAACCATATCACTCCCTTGCTCTGAGAATCATTAGTGGCTCCCCATCTCTAGAATAAAATACAAGCTACTTAGTTTGACATCTGAAGTACTTCTGGCGAGGCCTACCTTTCTAGACTTAGTTCACACGACTCCTCTTCAAGCACTCCATGTCCTTGCCAAAGTGACCCCAGGCTAAGATTCCCCCGCTCTAACCCTTCCTTCTTTACATGTCTATTCCTGTCCATATAAAAGACTCTTCCTAAACACTGTAGAGGTGGAGGACAAAAGATCACAAGTAGTATCATTTCATGAAGCAGCAAAAAGCAATTGAAAGGAAAAACATTCACAAAAAGCTTGGTGTGAGACCCAGCTAAGATGTAAAACTGTCACAGCGTAGTTTTGCTTAACTTTTCAGGGATTGTACTTTGTTGGGCATTTAATGGTGCCTTTGGTGGGATAAAAATAATTAATGTTTATAGAACTCTCACTATGTGCCAGGCACTGTGCATGAAATACTTTACATATAGCATCTTATTAATAATGATAATAATAAGAGCTAACATTTATATAGTACCTTCTATGTGCCAGGCACTGTGAAAGAAGCACTTTACAAATATTCTCCCATTTAATCCTCACAACAACCCTGGGAGGTAGGTATTCTTATCCCATTTTACAGAAGAGGAAACTGAGGTAGACAGCGATTAAGTGACATGCCCAGGGTCACCCAGCCAGTAAGTGTCAAAGACCAGATTTGTATGCAATGTTGAAAATTTATCAACAAAATAGAACTGTGACCAGTGCTGGGCGGGGAACCAGGACTGGAATTGGAAAGGGCAAGAAGGCAGTAGAAATTAATGTCTAAGTGGGTGCCCATCTCTACCTTTATCCTTTCCATGCCTGTGACTAGAGATCAGTTCTTTTAACTACCAAGGCCAGGGTTTGGGGTGGGCTAGGGACGTGGCCTTGGTTTCTGAGACGAGCTGTTCTCTGACCTAGAGAGATTCTTGTAACCAGTCCAGGAAGATAAGAGTACATCAGATCCCTATGGGAAACCCAGGCCAGCTGCAGAAGGGCCCATGTGTGAATCCCACGGGTGACTAGCCTTAATGGATGGAGTATTGACAACTGGTGAAATTAAGAAACTAGAACCTGGGAAAGGTGGTGAAAGGGGGTGCCACCACAAGAACTGGGGCTTTGGCCCAAATCGTCCCCCTACTCTCTCTTTCTCACTTTCCGGTAGCCCATCCACTCCTTCTGTTGAAGTTAATCAGCACTCCTGCTTTAATGATGTTAATGATGCCAGCTAGTTCCCCCAGCCAACTCTGCTGTGTGCCCACTCTCCTGAAGGCATCCTTCATTGCTTCACGAACTCATTCAGGCCCCACCCTTCTCCTGTCACAGACCCAGCTAGAAATGGGCTTTCAAGAGGTCAGCTCTACAAAATATAGAATTTAGAGAGTGATACAAAAAGTATAAAAACCTCTGATAGGGACCTAACTAGAGAATTCCTACACTAGTTATAGGAAAGAGTACAGGGTTTGGTGGCAAAGAACCTAGATTAGAACTCCAAATCTGTAACCTTCTCTGTGTGTGACCTAGGATAAATCATTTTACTTTCCTGGTTCTCTTTTTCCTCACCTGTAAAATGAAGGCTAGGACTAGTCTCTTTCCAGCTCCAAGCCTATGATCCTGTGGTCCAGATTTAATGGCAACCCAGTCTATGGTCCTCTCTGGTGGGCCACTTTCTCACCTACAAAATGAGGCAGGGAGGTTGAACTAGAAAGATCTCTAAACTCCCTTCTACCTCTGATTCTTTGAATCTGCTCTCCATTTGTGTCTCTTACAAAATCAGAACCTTTTGGAATCACAGGTTTAAAGCTAAGAAGGAATTTTAGAAATCATTTGTACCAATTTTCTCATTTTACAGTTTGAGAAACTGAGGCCTAGGAAACAGAAGTGACTTATTCAAGGTCATAAACATAGTAAATATATTGAAAAAACGATTTGAATCTGGGTCCTTTGATTCCAAATCTCATCCTTTTCATGGTTCATTTCAAATGACCAAGCCAGTTTGGGGGGTGGGGAAGGTCAGAGATCTAAGGGCTCCAACCAGGCCAGGGTTGCTCCCTCCTCAATTTCAACCCAAAGAGCCCAAATAATCCTTCCTAGCCTGGCTTCATCTTCAGTCTGGCTGGAGGAGGTGGAGAAAGAGGGGCCCAGGAGAAGGGGATTGCTCCTCATTCCCTCTTTCCCTCCCTTTCTCCCTGTGGGCAGCTTCCCTTCTATTCCTGCTTCTGTGTTGCTGTATTTGACATGACCCTGGTTTCCAGGAAAGGAGAAAAAGGCGGAAAAATAAAGTTAACTTTCCTCCACCCACACAAATATTTTTGGCTGGCGCAACCTTCCTACTGCCAATCTGGGAAGGAGAAGCATAGTTAGCAACAGAATTACCATTCAGATCCTCCTCCCCAGAGAGTTGTTATCTGATTACCAACATAGGTAGAATCTGGACACCCTAAAACTGAGCTATTTTTCAAAGGCTATTCTGAGGAACCCCTTCTTCCAGCCCCACGGTTACTGGAGCCTGCCTGGAAATGACTACCTATCCCAGTTCCTCAAAGGCCTAAAATGTGGGGGCAATGTCCAGTTCTCACGGAAGCTGAGACCACTGATGCTTAGGGAGCCCTGAAATATAGATTTCTTTTGTTGTTGTTGTTGGCTAGGCAATGGGGTTAAGTGACTTGCCTAGGGTCACACAACTAGTAAGCGTTATATGTCTGAGGCCAGATTTGAGCTCAGGTCCTCCTGACTCCAGGGCCGGTGCTCTATCCACTGTGCCACCTAGCTGCCCCTGGAAGATAGATTTGGCCTGTGCCAGGCACAGTGACAGTGGAATTAAGAGCAAACCAGAAGCAGCTGGGTAGCTTTGTAGATTCAGCACTGGGCCAGGAGTCAAGAAGACTTGAGTTCAAATAGGTTCTTAGGTACTTACTAGCTGGTGACCCTGGACAAATCACATAACCTTTGTCTACCTCAGTTTCCTAATCTGTAAAATGAAGATAATAATAACACCTAACTCCCTTGTTGCTGTGAGAATCAAATGAGATAATATTTGCAAAGCACTTTCTAAACCTAAAGGAACCATATAAATGATAGCAACGATTATTTTTGGATCAGAAGAAATCCCTCAGAAGCAAAGGGTATGTGGATATACCTAAAGATAAATGCATTCATTCATTCATTCATTCAATAAATATTTATTGAGTACCAACTACATACAAAACCCTATGCTGGATGCTGGGAAATACAGAGATGAATAAGATACAGTATTTGTCCTCAAAGGGCTCCCAGTTTAGTAGGCTAGATAACATATGGACACAAATAACTGTTATAGCAATAGAAATGTGATGCAGACCATAAGAGAGGGATAAAGTACTGTTAATTCAGGAGAAGGAGGGATCTGAAGGTGTTCAAGCAAAGGTGGATGATCACCGACTATTATTAATACCACAAAGACTACTTCTTTTTCTTGGCAATCAGGATTAAATGACTTGCCCAGGGTCACACAGCTATTAAATATCTGAGGCTGGATTTGAACTCAGGTCCTCCTGACTCCAGGGCTGATGCTCTATCTACTGCACCACCTAGCTGCCCCTAAGACTACTTCTTTAAGTAGGAGTTTGGATTAGATGTCCTCATAAGTCCCTTCTAGCTCTCAGATGAAGTCATTTTAGAATTCTAGGATAGAGAGGTCTCAGGGAGTCAAGGATGAAGCTCCTGGATTAAGAGAGGCGATTTGGGAGAAGGCTAAGAATGGGATTCCTAAAGACGCAGGATGGAAACTACTGGGAACTCCTTCCAAACTTAAATGCTCTTATCTCTTTTCTGCACCTGCAATTGCCCAATCTGTAAATATTTGTTTGTTTGTTTGTTTGTTCTTATCCAGAGCATTCTCCACCCAAGTGAAAGGGTTTCAGCTGCCCTCAAGAAGCTGGATCTGAGGCAGCTAGGTGGTACCTAGATTTGGACCTGAGTCCGAATCTGGCCACAGAAACTTATTAGCTGTGTGACCCTGGGCAAGTCACTTAACCCCGATTACCTCTTTAGGAAA